ATCAAATTGGAAAGGGTAGCTATGACAACAAATTCATAGTTTCCAAGAGCAATATGACATGAAGCCAACCAGGAAGCAGGCGGTCTTGGATCTGCTAATGGCTAATGAAGTAGGTTTCAGTAAATTACCTCAGAGTAAAAGATACCTTAAGAAGTAGTGATCATAAAATGATGAGTTTAACATTCAGTTAGAGAGTGAGAAATTTGGGTCAGAAACAACTGTGTTTAACTTAGGTAAAGAAAATTTTGAATGAAATGGAGTTAGCTAAAGTGACCTAGGTATATCAATTAGCTGGAATGATATTCAACAAGCAGCGGCAGACATTAAAGGAAGCAAAAATACATCTCAGCAAGGAGGAAAGATTCTAACAGAGGGATAAAACCCACCATGGATAACCAAGGAAATTAAGGAGATTATTAAGTTGAAAGAGAAATCACGTAAACAGGCCAAAGTCAGTGATGACCCTGAAGACTGGTATAAATTGAGAATCCAGCAAAGAGGATGATAAATATAATAAAGAGAGAGAAAATAAACTATGAAGTCAAACTGGTGAGGAATATAAAAACTGAGCGTAAGAGCCTTTTTAGAAAGAAAGGGAGGGGTCAAAGTGGACTTAGACCCCTTAGAAAATGAACCTGGGCGGATGGTTTTGGGGAACTAGGGAACGGTAGAGGAGCTAAATAGATATTTTGCATCACCTTTTACACTGGAGGATACTTTGAGCATTCAATTAATACTAAAGTATAGTGTTAGGTTAGGGAATGGAATAAAGTACCCTTACCGTCACTAAAGCAATAGTATTAAACAAACTGATGGTACTTTATTCTTTCCTCTAACCCTAACACTATTATTTAGTCTGAATTGAATGTTCAATATATCCTCCAATGTAAAGTTTGATGCAAAATATGGTAGATAAGTCCCCAGCCCTGACGGCTTGCAGCCTAGGACCCAAAAAGAAATAGTGCTGCATTGGTTGTAAATTTCCAGATATTGTTGGATTCTGGAGAACTACCAGAAGATTGGAAAACTGTTAACATGACGTCACTGTTCAAAAAGGGAGGGAGGCAAAAAGCGGGTAACTACAGGTTGATTAACATAACATTTCTATTGATCTATTGTTGGAAAAGTATTGGAATCAAATACTAAGGAAGCAATAGCAGTACATCTGGAAAATCATAATCTAATGAAGCAGATTCAGCATAACATCATGAAAGGGAAATTGTGTCCAATTAATTTTTTGGAGATTTTTGAGGAAATCTCAACCAGAATGGATAGAGGGGAAGCAATAGATGTGTTATATATGGACTTGCAGAAGGCATTCAACAAGTTACCTCAAAAAAGGTTAAGTCATAAGATAAGATCCCGTGGTGTTGGAAGTAGTATATTGGCATGGATAAAGAATTGGCTCATGGAAGGAAATAGTGAATAGGGATAATGGGTTCTTTATCAGGTTGGTGACACATGACCAGTGGGGCTCCACGGTGATCAATGCTGGGACTGCAATTGTTATAGTATATATTAATGACTTGGAGTTAGGAAGTGAATGTACTGTAGCCAAATTTGCATTTGACATAAAATTAGGTGGAAAGGCATGTTGTCAGAGGGATACAAACAGTTTATAGAGAGATATTGATAGGTTAAGTGATAGGCAAAATGTTGGCAAATGAAATAATGTGGGAAAATGTGAAGTTGCCCATTCTGGAAAGGGGAACAAAAGAACAGAACATATTTAAATGGAGAAAAACTGGAGAAAGCTGCAACACAATGTGACTTGGGGGTACGTGTGCATGGAACACAGAAAGCTAGCACACAGTTGCATCAGCTAATCAGGAAGGCTAATGGAATGTTGGCCCTTATTTCAAGGGGATTGGAGTATAAGAGTCGGGTAATCTTACTGCAACTGTACAAAGTGTTGATGAGACCACATCTGGAGTATTGTGAACAGTTTTGATCCCTTTACTTAAGGAAAGATATCATTTCATTGGAGGCAGTTTAGAGAAAGTTCACTAGGATGATCCTTGGTTTGGGGGGATTGTCTTATGAGCAAAGGCTAAACAGGTTGTGACTCTATTCACTGGAATTTAGAAGAATGAGAGGTGATCTCATTGAAACAAATTGGATTCTTAAGAGGCTTGACAGGGTACATGCTGAGATGATGTTTCCCCTCATGGGAGAGTCTAGGACCAGAGGGCACAGTCTCAGAAGGGTGCCAATTTAAGACTGAGATGAGGAGGAATTTCTTCTTACAAAAGTTCATGAGTCTTTGGAAGTCTTTGCCTTAGAGAGTTGTGGGGGCACAGCCCTGGTGTATGTTTAAGGCTGAGATAGATAGATTCTTGATCAGTAGGGGAATAAAGGGTTATGGGGAAAGGACAGGAAAGTGGATGTGAAGAATGCCAGATCAGCCTCGACCCTTTTGAGTGATGGAGCAGGCTCAAGACTACTCCTGTTCCTATTTCTCACAGTCTTATGTCCTATGACAAATATGAACTCATCATTCATCAATGTGAAGCTTGACACACTATGAACACATCACTAACTATCTTTGCATTTCAACTCGCCATTGGGTTATCGCAATTTCGGTGCTTGCTGAATTCAGTCACCCCATTCACTACATTTTCAATTCCTGTGGCGTCCACAGAACTCCACTCAAAACAATACTGTGGTGCTCCAAATCCAGTCAGAAGTTCTATAGGAAGTATAATAATATATTGTAGATCATTAGAATTGAATGAAATTATACAATTAGACTTGTTGAACATTTGATTTTATGTGTTACAATGTTCCTTGGTCCTGCCATGATAATCTCCTTTTAGTGGCAGTTACAGTGAAAAGATTAGGATAAAGTACTAGAATCTCAGAAGTTGAAAAATGTGACTCTGTAGCAACTTGTGCCCTGGTGCTACAGTACCCGGAACTCATAAAGTGGTGAGTGTACCAATTCTGGGCACTACAGGCACAGCCCATATGGACACCATGTTGGTGACACTACTGGTGCTGGAGTGCCAAGCAGAGTTGATGGATCATAGTGTCAAACATTTGGCATCTGATCTACCATTTTGAATTTTGGGTCCTGTTAACATGTTGCCTTAAACTTTCAGCTGTACACGAAACCCTGCACTAAATTTATTTAAAGGAAAGACCATGTGAGGTGCTTTCAACTTTCACTTATTACTGCAAAGTGAGTTGAAGTGTTGGGTTGTGTGTTGTCGGAGGAATCTGGAATAGTGTTTGGAGTGTGAAGGGAGAAGTGCTAAATTTTTGCAACAAAATTGTCAGCAATATTTGAATACTGGTCAGGAAAAAAGCTGCTTTCATTAGTTAGTGCTTGAGTTCTAGTCCATACGGAGCTGCATCATAGCAGGGATATAGAGAGGAGGTAGATTTTAAAAAATTCATTCATGAGATGTGGGCATTGCTAGCTAGGCAGCATTTATTGCCCATTCCTAATTGCTCAGAGAGCAGTTAAGAGTCAACCACATTGCTGTGGGCCTGGAGTCACATGTAGGCCAGACCAGGTAAGGATGATAGTTTCCTTTCCTAAAGGGCATTAGTGAACCACATGGGTTTTTCCAACAACTGATAATGGTTTCATGGTCATCAATTGATTCTTAGTTCCAGATTCTTTATTGAATACAAATTTCACCATCTGCTATGACAGGATTTGAATCCAAGTCCCCAGAACATTAGTTGAGTTTCTGCATTAATCATCTAGCGATAATACTACTAGGCCATTGCCTTCCTTAGGGCAGGGAATAGTGGCAGAAGGAGCAGGAACGTTCTCAATTGAAGGCTGCATCCATGTATGGTCTACAGTGAATGCTTCTCCTAAACCCTGTGGCTACGATTCACCAAGGATGTGGTCACTGAACTGTACCAGCTCTGGAAACCAGGCCCACAGCTGAACAGCAGCGATAAGTGCATTCCCATTGGTCATGTTGAACACTGGCATTCTCAATTTCTACACCAGTGGATAGATGAGAGCCAGTGATGCTAATGTTTCACGGGACAATATCACAATGTATGAGACAGGTGGTAGAAGTCCTGAAGACCTTCAGCAGAGATGTCATTGTATTCACTGTAACCAGAGGGAAGGAGAAGACTATGGTTTTGCCAAGGGAGTGAAAGTCCCAATGGCAGACTGACCTACCCACTAAACATGTGGGACTCTGTGAAGCAAAGTCTGCCATTCCTGGAACTTGCAGTAACTATGCAGCCTTGCATGGTGCACTATTCTGCAGAATGTCCTCTATCCAGGCAGCAGCTACAATACTTTTGGTTTGCAGAGGTCAGGCAGCAGGACTTCCCATATCTGAGCCACAACAGTGAACTACAAGTTTGGTGACTTGGTCTTCTCACTCCACACCAGGCTCTTGCCATCTCTCCACCTCCTGATCATGTCTGGATAGCGTGTTTATAACAACAGCCATACTGATATCAGAAAGATTGAAAAATAAACCATCGGCATTCTAAAACACCAGTTTTTCTGCATAGACTGTTGTTGGGATCCCCCGGATCTATGGCAGAAACTTTGAGAAGACGAAGAGGAGGAAAGGGGAGGAAGAGCCTCTTCATCTGTTTGCATTGTCTATGACCGGACAGATTGCAGGTCTCCTAAAATCTCAGCCAGACATCATCACTATTCCATAAATTCCCATCTTTTCATCCTTCTGCTGCAGATCATTGAAATTTCTTTGTCAAAATCTTCCTTGACTTTATACTAATGTCTCTGTATATGTAGCCTGCAATCCCATTTGCTTTGCTAAATACTCTCTCATAATAAGTGTCATTGCACTCTGTAAAACTGTGTCATTTAGTGTACATTGCCTCGTTCATTCGCTACGTCCAAAATGCAGCACGTCACACTTCTCTGGATCAAATTCTATCTGTCCATTCTTCTAACTTTTCCATGCCCTGTTGCAGCTTATTGAAATCATGCTCACTGTTAGCCACAACTCCAGGTTTGGAATCATCAACAAATTTTTAAGTTTTACTTTGCATTTCAATATCCAAAATCATTTTTATATTTACCAAAAAGTAAGAGGTACTTGGACTGAAAAAGTCGAATATCGTCTATAACAAACAACCATTATCATAGCTTCAAAAACAAAGTTGCTGGAAGATCACCAGGTCTGGCAGCATCTGTGAAGAAAATGTCAGAGTTAATGTTGTGGGCCCGGTGACCCTTCCTCAGGGTCCTGATTTACAGCATTAGCAGTTCTTTCAGTTTTCATTACCATAGCTTGCTATTTTCTCTCCTTAAGCAAAATTATTAAGCAAAATTAGCACTGTCTCACCGTGAGCCTCACTTTTGTTAACTAGCCTTCTATATGGTACCTCGTCAAAGGCTTTCTTGAAATCCGTATGAACAACATTCATTGTTTTCCCTTTGCCTGTCTTTTCTGTTTCCTCATCAATAACTTCAATTGCATTATTAAGCATGATCTGCATTTCACAAATCCGTGCTGATTGTAATTATACCTTGAATCTGCCGAGTATCAATTTGCATTCAGTTTGCCCATACAATCTGGATTGCAAAAGGTAACAAGAGAGAAAACTGGTCAGCTGAAATGGTGATGGAAATAATATAACTGAACAGTGGTTGACACATAACCTCTTCGAAATGCTCACTCATAACACCTCATTGCAATGAAGAGCTGGTCTGACACGGTCAAAGAAGGTAATTGTCAGCCGAAATGCTTTCTGGCTGCCATATATCAAGCTACAGCACTAAGAAAGCTGTGACGCCTGCCTAAGCTCTTTATTTTTTTTCAACTTTTCCCAAAAAAAACTTCCTAGGACTCAATTATTTGGGAGCTCATGTTGATCCTGCAAATAATCATTCTGTTGGGCAAGATATGTCACAAAAGTCGCACATAGACATAGACAGATGGACTCAATAACACAATATCATAAATCGTTTACACTTCCCAGGAAATGCAGGAACTCTCAAATGGAAAACATGTCACAAGATGGCAAATGTGTCTCAGGATACACTAATTCTGTGGTGTTCCCATGGTGTTCCCAATCTCTGGGTGACAGGAGCCATATAGCGAATTTCTGACTCATATTAATAAGCACCTCTGCCATGTACATTTTATTCCTTTCCAGATTTGAATTATCATCCAAAATCTGATTCTTTCCTGACTGAGTTGGACCAAAGGGTTTGTTTCTGCGCTGTATGACTCTATGACTGATGTAGTAGATTTTTGTTTATTTAACTTTGTATCATTTAGAAGCTCTGAAATGAACACGCAACTCAACTGATAACCCAAAACGATTTGGGAATTGTAATATTTCTAGATAATTGCAACACTTGATTTTAGCTTCGTGTTGGGATACCTTGGCCCTGATAAAAATAAAGCTTGCATACTCTTAAGTGCAAAATGTCATGCTACTCACGAGCAGTCTGCATTCTCATGTATAAATTCTCCTCTGTATAAATTCTGCTTCTGTTCATAACAACAAAAACAGCACTTACAAAATGTTTTCGCTGCGCTGAAACAAATTGCTGACTTTGCGTTCTGGTCCTGGGACTGCCAGACAACTGAGGGAATGATGCCTCAAGGTATTTTATGAAACATGCAGTCATGTTCTGTGCTCATAAAATGGAAGAGAAAGAAAATAAACACAGATAAACATGCAAACCAAGTCCACAGCTTTCTACATTTTCTTGCAAGAGAATGGTTTGAAAAATGGAATTCTCCAAGGTGACAAGTGAATTTCTCTAAGGATTATTGTACAGAAGCCAGAAAAAGAACCGTAAAATGAATTTTTTTGATTAAAATAAAGGCACCATTTTAAAAATGGATAAACATCAGCCTGCTGCACCCAGTTGCCTGAAAACTATGCAGAAAATAATGCCTAAAAAAAAACTGCTGTACAGTTCAAAACTTGCCATGTCGGTAGAAATCTCATCCACCACACATGGTCTCAGCAGCAGGATATAATAAATCTGCATCGGAAGTTTTCCTGGGACCCTGTGGGCAAAAATGTTCTTTCCAGGCTGGTATAGAAACATGTGTAAAATATTTCTGGAAAAACCTTATTTTTCAACATCCTGTCCTCAATTTTTTGTTTCATTTTTTTGAAGTTGCTAAGACTGAACACCCACTAAACTGCAACTTCTACGTAAGTCCTAGGAAAGCACTCACACATGACCTTCAACACTGATGATGCCAAAGGCCATGGAGTTAAGACAATTGACCCTTAACTAAAATGTTAGTGGTGCACATCTGTACAACTGGAATGTACAAGGCACCAATCAGAGGGAGGAAGAACCAACTTTTGGTGAATGTATGCATTTTCCCCAGAATCATCTTAAACCATCTTCAGATTTCACAAAATATTTGTGGATCTGTGCTGTATACCATAGTGAGTCTACTTGTGCCAATAATCTGGCTGGTATACTTGATCTTTCTCAGCGTAATGATTCTCTACTGTTGAACAGATGCAAAAATTGGAGGAGTAGCTTTCTCTGGTGTTGCCCTTTTCTTGCCTTGTTAATGCTCACAGAAGCTCAGCACTAAAACAGGATGTTCCATGTCACTCCATGTATCGTGGTCTGGGTATGATTCACATCATTTCTGCTTGGGCTTTGACTGCCTGTGCTAGAGTGCCTACAGATTTTCTATCCCAGTGACTTGTCCTGGAATATGGTCTATGAGGGAATCGCTGAATTGCAAAATTTTATGACATTGAAGGAGGCCATTCAGCCAGTTACGCCTGTGCCCCTGCTCCAAATCAGCATAATGACTTAGGACCATTCTCCTGCCTTTACCCCATGCCCTCCCACATTGTTTCTGTTTAACTAACCATCCTGCCATCTGAAAATCTCAACTGAAACTGCCTCCTCCATTCTTCCCGAGAGTGCATTCCAGCCCCAAACCATGCGGTGTGTGAAATAAGTCTTTGATCACATCACTTTATTCTATTTTGCAAATCACTTTAAATCTGCATCCTGTAATTCAGGAACAGTTGCTCCATATTTACTTTATTTAGCTCCCTCATGACTTTGAACATTTCAATTAGATCTCCTTTGTCTCTCAAAGTAGAACAGTCTTCACCTTTCCAATCTATCTTCATAACTGAAGGTTGGAATCATTCTTATAAACCTCTTCTGCACTTTCTTCAATGCACTTACGTCCTTCCTATATTGTGGCATACAGAACCATACACGATGCTCCAATTGAGGTTTAACAAGGCTCTTATATAACTTCAGCATCATCTCCTTGATTATGTACTCTGTGCCCTAATTAAAGCCTGTGATACTGCATATTTTCTTAACTGCTCTTTCCACCTGTCCTGTCACTTTCAATGATCTGTGCATATATACATACAGACCCCCCTCACGTTTTTTAGAATTGTACTCTCATTTTATATTGTCTGTCCATCTTGTTCCTACCAAAATGTATCACCTCACACTTGTTGGTATTGAAGTTCATCTGCCATTGATCTGTCTACTCCACCAACTTGCCTACATCCTTCTGAAGTTCTACACTGTTCTCCCAATAGTTTATAATTCTTCCAAGTTTTGTATTATCTCAGACTTCGAAATTGCCCCATGCACACAAAAATCTAGGTCACTATTCTATATCAGGGAGACCAAGGGTTATCCAAGGAACCCTACTGCAAACTTTCCTCTTGATGTCTCAGACATTTGCAGGCATGCAGTTCCTCATCTCGGTGTGAAATCTTGGGGTGTACATTCCCATTGGCATGATTCAAACATCAAATAACCTCTTTAAAATAAATGGATTGATTCCAGTATTTAAAAAAGCAGAAAATATTACTTGATACAACATGAGTGCAAATATTAACATGCTACTATTTCATTACACCACATTGCAGTCTAGACAGTCGAACTCTGTCATCACATAATGTCCAGACATGAGATTTTTCCAGTGAAGGTTAATAAATGTAATCAAAACTAACAATCATTGCTGGAGAATCTGAGATAACAAGATGTAGAGCTGGATGAACACAGCAGGCCAAGCAGCATCATAGGAGCAGAGAAGCTGACGTTTCGGGCCTAGACCCTTCATCAGAAAAGGGGGAGGGGAAGGGGGTTCTGAAATAAATAGGGAGAGAGTGGGAGGCGGATAGAAGATGGATAGAGGAGAGGATAGGTGGAGAAGAAACAAACAGGTCGAAGAGGCGGGAATGGAGCCAGGAAAGGTGAGTGTAGGTGGGGAGTTAGGGAGGGGATAGGTCAGTCCAGGGAGGACGGACAGGTCAAGGGGGTGGGATGAGGTTAGTCGGTAGGAGATGGGGATGCGGCTTGAGGTGGGAGGAGGGGATAGGTGGGAGGAAGAACAGGTTAGGGAGGCGGGGACGAGCTGGACTGGTTTTGGGATGCGGTAGGGGGAGGGGAGATTTTGAAGCTTGTGAAATCCACATTGATACCATTGGGCTGCAGGGTACCCAAGCGGAATATGAGTTGCTGTTCCTGCAACCTTCGGGTGGCATCGTTGTGGCACTGCAGGAGGCCCAGGATGGACATGTCGTTTGAGGAGTGGGAGGGGGAGTTGAAATGGTTAGTGACTGGGAGGTGCAGTTCTTTATTGCGAACCGAGCGTAGGTGTTCTGCAAAGCGGTCCCTGAGCCTCCACTTGGTTTCACCGATGTAGAGGTTTCCCACTTCCTACAGACAAAGGGGGTGGCCATGGGTACCCGCATGGGCCCAAGCTACACCTGCCTCTTTGTAGGTTACGTGGAACAATCCCTCTTCCGTACCTACACCGGCCCTAACCCCACCTCTTCCTCCGTTACATTGATGACTGTATCGGCGCCGCCTCATGCTCCCACGAGGAGCTCGAACAGTTCATCCACTTCACCAACACCTTCCACCCCAACCTTAAGTTTACCTGGACCATCTGTAATACCTCTCTCCCCTTCCTGGACCTCTCTGTCTCCATATCGGGCAACCACCGAGAAACCGATATTCATTTCAAGCCCACCGACTCCCACAGCTACCTAGAATACTCCTCCTCCCACCCACCTTCCTGCAAAAATGCTATCCCCTATTCCCAATTCCTTCGCCTCCACCGCATCTGCTCCCAGGATGAGGCATTCCACTCCCGTACATCTCAGTTGTCCTCGTTTTTCAAGGACCGTAACTTCCCCCCCTCACTGGTCGAGGACGCCCTCAACCGTGTTTCCCACATCTCCCGCAACTCATTCCTCACACCCGGTCCACACAATAAGAACCAAAAAAGAATCCCCCTCGTCCTCACGTACCACCCCACCAACCTCCGGATCCAACGCATCATCCTCCGACACTTCTGCCATCTGCA